AAGCATTTTAAAAATCTGCCATGTAGCAGACAGCATGGTTTAATGCCTGGTGTTTAACCACAGATAGACTTTAAACTGAGATGGCTCTGACTGCTTCTTGTCATTTTTGTGCATAGTAGTTAGAAGTTTGTGTTGGCACCCTGTAGATCATAGCTGGATTCTGGATAAACAAAATGCTTCTGTTTCCAGGCTTGCTAGATCCTTTAACTTCATAAATATCAGCATTCATCTTGCTTCTCCTCCTCCTTTTCCCTCCCCAAGTTGTGTTTGCATATATATAACCAGGAAACATTTAGCAAGAATGTACTACCTCAAAAAGTGATTTAGCTCAATAATTATGCCATGAAGCATGTATCTTAACGTTCATCTCAGAAAAATGAACAGTTCTACTAAATTAGCTCATATATACCACATGCAGTCAGTCCTCTTCAAAAGACTTGATGCACTTAACAATGAAATGTTAGCCTGCTTTGAAACTTGGTATATCCTGTCATGTTTATAGAAATATCTGAGCAATGGTTTTGAGAAGTATTTTAATATCTCCACTTTAAAATATGACAAAATTTTGGAGGAAAAATAATTCCATTTCCATATATTCCAATGAAAACAGTTATGAAGATCTAATTTTTTTCAAAAAATGTGAAATTTTCAACCTGTGTAAATGATGTATGTTTTATATGAGAAACTTAGCTATTACAGTGCTGATTGATACATTTTTCGTTAAGGTCGGCTTGTTGAGAGTGCTAATTTGAAACTGAAGACAAACCTGCCTTCAGAAATGCGTTAAGTTCCTAGTAGGTAGTTGTGTAGAAATTCTATCCATTCAGAATACACAGCAGATAGCATAATGTTCAAGCTTGGCTTAAGGCTCCATGCGATTTACAAAACAAATAAAGTTTGACCATAAATGTTGTGATAGTTTTATAGTTCTATTTTGTAGGAACATTAACTTGCTATTCCCTTGTATACATGCATCTGAACCCATAGATTTAATTCATATAAAAAAATATATAAAATCAATTATATATATGTGAGTTTCTTACAAAATGTCTTTATTCAATAGATATCAAAGGCTTTTATGAAAAAAGTTAAGTGTCATCATTTCTCAACTTTACGGGCAGGGAAACTGAAACTAATCAGGGCTTTGTAGATTTGCTGAAGACCTAAAAGTAGTTCTCAAGACTTTGTGAGTGGTGGTTTTCTGAAAAGCTTTAGACAGCATCTGACAAGCCATATCTGTTCAACATTTGTGCCTAGGTTTCTCCAAACCTTTGTTAAAAGTGCCTGGCAAACTCCTATCTGCGTAAGATCAGATCTGTAAAGGGTTAGCTGACTTGGTGTTATTTTGATGAGGTTCGGTTGCAGGTTTTCCAACTCGAGTCGGGGTGGAAGGCTTACTGCTGTTTTTCGAGTGAAGATATTTGTGTCAATCCATAGATGAGGAGATACTACTGGCAATAATAAAATCATTAAAAATACAAATATTCTTACATTCTGGACTTACTATAAATCTCATGAAAAATGAAAACCTTACATTGCATTTTCCTTATTTGTTGAACAATACATATGTTCTCCAACAATGTATAGATATATTTATTCAAGTGTGTGTGTGTATAAATATGTATAAATGCACACACATGCACATGCATGCATGTACATACTTTACATTTTATGATCCATCCTTTCCTTCCTTTCTTTGTAGCAAATCGTGAGCCACATTTTTCCTCTCTTCTCTCTTTCCTAGGCTTCAGTTTTAAAGCAACCCTCCTGGCCGTGGCTTTTGCTTTTATAGCCTTACTAATAGTGCCAACTGCAGTTAAGCCATGTTTATTTGAAAAGCTTAATTGAGACTAGCAAGAAGTTCCTGATTACTTTTCTTAAATAATAATAAGTGAAAGGAAGAATTGTTTCTGTGCAGTAAGTATGGTGCTGTTGAACTAGCAGCCTCTGTGTTGGTAAGATTAAAAAACTGCCTATTTTGCCTGCACTTCAAAACAGTCACTGTTTGTTTTGGGGACATCCCATCCAGGACTTATGAGTTAGTTTAGTCCTATTTATGAGTAGCCAGTAGCTTTTACACTGATATGTATATGGGCCGGACTGCTAAACCTGGTCTCAAAGCAGCACCCAGAAGATAGGTGGTAGTGACTTATTTTAAGTATTGTTTTAAGTCACCTTTTCTCACCTGTCTTGAAGTTAGCCCACATCTGATTTGAATCACTATTTTATAAGCTAATAGCAGGAGGTAAAACAGTCTTCACAAAAAATATTCTTCCAGCCAGCAATTTCTGGAATATTCACCCTTGCTCTGATTCACAATCCTGAAGACCATAAGAGAGGTTGCTTTAGAGATAAAAATCCTTCAAGCTCTTGGCTGTCGCAGGGAAATATCTGTCTTTTCCACTGTGGCAGTTTTCAAGCTTCTCCATGTTGCCCAAACCAGCTGAAAAGCAGCATGGAATATTGTATATTAGAGGAGTACATTATGCTCTTGAGAAAGTGATCTTCTAGGTAATATCCAAAATAAAAGAACATTATAAAATATAGTCATGAAATTGTGTACCAGGGTAATGTGCACAAATCTTCATAAGAAACAGCAAATGGGGAAATTAGCCATAAAAATCCCATTTACCAATAACAGAGTTTGTGCCTGTAAACTCTTGAGCACCACTTTGAAAATGGCCACTATAATAAAAAGGGAGTAATCAGATTTGATGGAAGCATTGGTAATCAGTTTTTCTAGTAAGCTTTGGTAAGGAATGTTTGTATTCACATTCAGTGTATAATCAGGACATCGTGGTATCAGTACAGTCTCAGTTCTAGCAAAGAGTTATACTCACTTCTGGAGTCTTGATCCTCTGTATCGTCATTCAAAAAAGTGCTACAAGCAGAACAAGATCATTACAGTGAAGCAAAGTATGAGGACATTTCAAAAGCCTGATGGGTCTTCTTTAATAATTAATTGTAGTTATAACCTTTTTGCTTAATTTCTTGTAAGCTTCTGGCTGATTTGCTGCCCTTTGTATGAGCTTTAAGGGTGAACAATCTGTGATAGGCAGATTGGATACAGGTAAATGCAAAAAACAGGATGTTCTCTGTGTATCAATGTTCTCTGTGGAAATGTTTATTTTACTTAATTTTACTTATTTTAGTATCAAGGCTTTGTTAACATGGTTCTGAGAATAATCAGTTTCGGCAGAAGTTAGCTAAAAAATTAGATTTTAAGTGTCGAGTTATATTTATAGAAATTGTGTATTAGATTACATGTAATTGACAGTGTCCTTTAGATTGACAAGTGAGATAGGATGTTCTTATTTTCAATAATCTGTTACGTTTAAGGTGTTTCTTTAATGGTTTGGATTGCAGTTTAAGAGTAGAAGGCCTATGCATGTGCTTCTGCTTGCTAGGGTACTGCAAACTTGATTTCTGAGGTTGCTGACAGCTTCAGAAAGATTTAAAAACTGTCAGCAGGAAACATTCCCGTAGAATCTGTACTGTGAACTTTTTCTGGGAAAACAGCATCATTTAGCAGGTAATATATCTGCAATAAAAATACAGTTATGCAATAATGGCACATTAATATGGTAAATCATAACATGGTCTTTTCTGTTCAATTTGAAAAGGAACCTGCAGAAAGAATAAGTTCCTACTCAGCTGGTTGGTGTACTTGGTTGTATTTGTATATTACCAGGTTTTAAACTTTGAAATAGCCATTTGATTTGAATGGGAGATAACATCTACTCATGACATTTTATTTCTGCATTAACAGATTTCCATTTTGGTTTACGTTAATACAATAGGATTTTTTTCTTTTTTCTTTTTTTCTTTTTCCTCCTGGTATGCTAGGATACTGCTGGAGTACTTTGTTTGGTATGTAACTGCTAATTTATCCTTTATGTCTTTATGATCTTGTCAATGCCTCATGTCTCCCTTAGTTTTTCTAATCTAAAATAATCCCAGTGAAATCCTTTGATTGTCTGTTTGGACCTAATCCACTTCTAAAGCAGGAATGTAATGGGCTTTATGGCACTTACTTGGAAGTAATTTATCCAACAGAGTGAATATAGATACTTGTTTTAATAAGAATATGCTTTATGGTAAGTGGGGAACGGCTATTTAATTAGCCAAAGGGAAAATAGTTCATGATACAATCTGTTCCAATCATCTTGGACATTAAACAAAAAGTCAGAGTTATTTATGTACATGCACTTTATTTGTGGTTGCTTTGTGTAACCTCTTGCTAGAACTTTACAGCATTATCTGGATAAAAAAGGGATGTGTGTTTCT